GGTTTGTTAGTTTTATAACATTTGCTGTGCTGAGATCTACTGTATCCATCTGCCTTCTATAGATACAAAAAAGCGTGGTGCCACCTATGGGTGAGAGACTGTACTTTGCTTCTTGTCATACTGTATACTGTAGGTGTCAGAATTCACATTAAGAATAGGAAATTTTCATAATGATGATTACGTTAGATTGCTGTGTAGGATGAACTCCCATGCATATTCACTCCTCGCAGCTAAACTCGGTGATACGAGGCATTGCAACAGTGATTCTTTTTATGTAACACAAATGTATTTTTAGCATTAGAGGGAGAGTTTTATTTTTTTAGCAGCAGCATCCCGTCCCCCATGTATTTTGCATAAGATGGAGTGTTATCTATGCTTTATGATTATGGGCTGCAATGGTGGGAAAAAAGGGAGTCAGAGACACAAAAAGAAAGGAAAGAGGACAGTGTATCAAAAATAGTAAGAGGCAGAAGACGAAAGACAGACAGACAGGACACAAAAGAGAAAAATGCAAGATGGAGACAAGTGAAGGAGGGCAGAACTGAACAACTTCATGAAGAGAGCAAGAAAGCATCATTACTGTGTTCTCTGTATGCAGCATTTTCTTTACACAATTACCGCACAGCACTGCAGAGGTATTAACACCGTCTGATTTCCTAAAAGGGTGAGGAGATAATGTAATGAAATTCCCTTGAAACTGATCGAGGAGAGGCAGTTAAGACAACTTAATGTGGTATGATGATGAAAAGATAACAAAGCACATATTCATGAAATATTAGAGAGGCTGTCACCTTAAAAAGCAGAAGAAAACACAGAGGTTTCGCTGAATGTATTCATATGTGAGAGAAGTATTAAAGATGCCAAGAGAGGATGAAAGCAGACAGATTTTCCATTTCCGATTCTCTGTCCAACATTGTTTCCCTGTCTCATGCTTTATCCCGTTGAGTCTACACAAAATCCCAGGCTTAAACTTGTAAAATATCTCAGCTGTCAGTGTTGCAAATATANAGACACAAGCTCAGGCAGAGAGAACATTTTGATTAAATCTACACTGTCAGTCATATCAGCAAAGGGCTCTTTTGTACAGGAGCACAAGGTTACACATCTACAAACGGTGAGAATCAATGGCGGTTTCTGGGTGGCTTTCTGGATAGACACACAGGATGAGAGCGCATGGCCAAGAGTGAAACTCCAGGTGTGCTTTCCCTTCCCTTTTTTTAGGTGTCCTACTTCAGGGAAACACCTCTCTCTCCCCCCTTGTCTAATAGGGGCATTACTCTTCTGTAAAGTGGCACTTGACCAATTGCTTGCCATTTTAAAGGTCAATAGGAAGCTGTTTTAATGAATTCAATTACTTGTTGAGCACTCATATCAGCACAAACCTGATTCATTGCCAGATCCGGATCATTAATAAAGCCGAGTTAGTGCAGTGCTACCGCCCTTGCAGACAAAAGCAAGTATCTCGGGATTATCTTTAACAAATCTGCATTCTGTGTCAGAAGACGGGACATCATCCTCATCAAGGTTTACTTGTAAATCCACTCAAGTCTATTCACACTGACACAGAACTCGACAATATTTATCTTTGAGCTGAACTGACAGACATGCATGCTCATAACTACTGACAGAGACCCACAAATGAATCAATATCTTTACACCAATTTTGCACTCAAGGACGTTTGCACACACACACACACACACTATTTTACACATTGTAAGCCGTGGTCTTCTAATGGATGAGATGTCAAATAGAGTCAATTCCACTGTCAATGCATTGAGCTTCTGGGTCTTGCCACTGTGATGATATCTTCGAACGATCAATATCTTAGCATGCTTCGGGTCCATATCACGCGCACACACACACACACACACACACGTGTACACACCGACACTTCCACTCATTACTCATTGGTCAGTTTAAAGATAATGAAGGTGGGTTAAGAAGATGGTGAAAGTGTACTAGGTTTTTGATGAACTGTATGGAATCATAAAAGGCACAGTGGCTGGGGGCATCAGCAGGATAGGTTGGCTGTGTGCTGTGTGTTTCTATAGAAATGAGATAAGATTGCATTACCGGTTAGCCCTTAGGAGATACACACAGTATGGCGGTAGTGCTTAATTTAATATTAAAGATAAAGGTTTCAGTTCTTATTAAATTTACTTTGTGTAACTGTCTCTCGGACTCTGAGCAGACCACAGGGTTCAAATCATATGCTCACTCACTGGAGCTTGCAGGGTACATACATGCTGCAATGTCAACTGTGCCTGTAGCGCTGCATTATAAATGCACATACTCCAACACAGAAGAGTATGTGCACAAACACAAGCACAAACCTACACACAAACACACACACACAATCTGCTGGACATATTTCTCTGCCCAAGGAAGACACAAAACATCACTGACAGCCTATAAATTGTAGTCACACTCGGGTGCACACACGAGCATAAGTATGCAGTTGGCAGCAGCAGGCAGGTAATAAGTTAGCGGGACATGGGAGGAAAGTGCTTGTCGTGCAGAAATTTCCGACAATAATGACAGGCCTATTACGTTAATTTCATACTGACAGCCCGATGTCTCTCTGGGAGGATTCACACACAACAGAAACAGGGACCGTGACCCTCTGTAGCTTCATCCACAGTGCTAACACAAGCAAGCCTGCACATTCAGGTGCTGCCACGAACATCAAAACTGTAAAGCCCCCTTTACACTGCCTTTGCAAGGGTGTGAAGTTTTGATGACATGTTATGCATGCGACCCACTATGGGAGACTTTAAAGCAGCTAGCAGCAGTTAGCAGTTAACTCAAAGAAGGAGAACAGCGGCTGAAAATGTCCTCAAATTGGGAAAACTCCTTCTCCATGCAGAGGACCAGATCAGCCGCCACATATAGCAGGGACAGTAAATGATTATTACCATGTTACGCCATGGTTATTGTTTAAAAGTGTTGCTATGTTAAATGTCACACTCAAGTGTTGCTATGTTAAATGTCACACTCAGCCGATGCTGTCGTGGTAAACCACACTGGAGCAGCATGATGCTGCCGTTGTTTGATACTGTGAAAAAATGCAAAGGTGTGTAAAGAAGGGACTTTATCTTGGCCCTGAAAAATGAAAAATCGGCTATTCAAAAGCAGCAACAGCTAAAAAAAAATCATTCGGAACCTCTCTGAATGAAAACTCACATTATTCTTGTAATATTTTAAAACTCATTTTCAATTCATTTGAATGACAAGCAGCTCTTGAGCTAACAGCAGGGACAGTGCTGTGGTATTGATGTTGTTAATTCTGGAGCTGGTTCGTGAACCAACCCTGGACACAGAAAGAGTTTGGGATGGGAAGATTTTCTGTTTCACAGCTGGGAGCCTTCAATTCAAATAAATCTTATTTTAGTGTCCCACAGAGGTAATCACTTATTCAGTGGTAAAGCACTAAATCCAACATGCTTCACTTGATGACATCATCTATTCAAGTCTTGGGGAGCTTAGGGAGGGGAAAAATCAATCAACTGAATTTAATTTGTATAAGTTCACTTTAACTTTTGAGTAGTAGATTTTTTTTAATGGCTTTACATAGTAAAACATTTATTTCATCACCTTTAAGTTTTTAGGTGCTCTGAATACTCTAAATACACACATGCACAGAGACAACACTAAGAAAACTTCATCCTCATGTACAGCTCCACAGTAAAGCAGGTTAACGACCACACTAAGCACGTCCTCAGACAGACAGACAGACACACATACACACACACTCACACACACACAAACAGACCCTATGCACATTCAATCAAGGATTACAATGATATTCATTTAACCAGGCTATACAAATGCAAATGGCTGACATGTGAGCCCAGGCACTCTAGCCGTGTGCTTCAACATCACAGCGACACTGCTCTGTGAGACACTTTGATAAAGCCAGATCAAAGGAGAGTGAAGAAGAGGCATTCAAGACCTCCAACAATAGCCCTCCTTAAACAGTGCCTCTAACTGGCTTATAAAAGCACATGAATGAATAAAGATGAGGTTTTAGGCTACAAATGTCTGTAAACAATCCCTATAGTGGCACTTTACAGAGGCTATAAAACACAAATACACACATGCAACCACACAATGCTCAGACACGCAGATGAATGTAGGCTACACACATTGTAATACACACCTCTGCTCAGGTGTGGTTTGTCAACTAAACCTGGCTAATTCTAACAAAACGCACAAGTCCAACACAAGGTTTTACACTGAGGTGCATTGTTGAATTCATTTTAACACCTGTCCACTGGAATTTGATGGTGCACATCCACCTCTGTCCTAATTCTCCTCAGTCCCTGTCTATCATCTCCAATTCAACATTTCTGCTCACCCATCCCTACAAAGCCTCTCTTCCCTTATATTCTGCCTGTTTCGTTCACCATCTACCTTTCCTTTCGTCTTCTCGCATTCCTTTCACTCCCTCTCTGCAGACCTCTTGCTATTTCCAACACTGGACCCCTATAATCCCCTCTCTCCCCTGATTCTTTCCAACTCTTATTGTCAGTGTCTCATCCTCTCCTGTTTTTTTCCTGCCCTCAATCATTTATAAAGCTTTGCTTTTTCTCCTTCAACACACTTTCTTTGTCACTGCCTCTTCCATTTATCTGTCTCACTCTGTGTGCATCTCTCTAACATCATGCTCCTGCTTTACCAGTCTCCATTTTTATCCTACCCTCTTTGCGCATCCCCATACTTTCAAAGCTTAGTGTTATACTGGCAGTTTTGCCACACTTGCCCTCTATCCCCTCTAAAAGCCTGCCTTACATCCACTGGGTTATGCACAAGTACACTTGAAGGAAGCCAGGGATGTGGCATAGCAGCTTTTCCAGCATTCATTTTATATCCTCACATCATCTTCTTTTGGAAAGTGGCAGAATAGCAGAAAGGCTGCCTGACACATTTTACTATACATCTCCCTTGCCATTTTTTTTTTTAGTTCATCCCCACTCTCCCTTCCCCTGTGTTCTTTTACCTTTAGCAGGCGTACAGATGGCAGGAAGGCTGCATGGCACAGTTTTCTGATGGTCCAGTTGAGTGGCCGTGGTGCATCCAGCTGGTTCATGGTGCCCACTCTTCACGGTGCAGCCACTGGTGCCCGGTGGCTTTTCCCGGGACCAGGATCAATGCTGCCCCACAAGGGGGGCAAAAATGGGAGAGGGTCTCCAACTCCAACTGCCGAAAAGCACGCAAGTCCCAGGGCATGACCCTCGACGGACAACCATCAACCACTACTGCCACCACCTTGAAGCCTTTACTCCCCTGAGCAGATGAATCTCTCACCTGGTCAGCTCTCTGCCCCCCCTCCCCTCCCTCCCTGCCCTCTTCTCCTCTCTGGCCCACACAGATCCAAAGAGTCCGAGGCAAGCCAAACCTGGTGCACCAGGAACATCTGATTCCTCTTCCACCAGTAGCCGGAGTGCACTCAGCTCTGGCGCGAAAAAACCCAGAGTGTACAGTATTTTCCCAAAGAATGGAGCAGAGCGCAGCAATGCACAGCAGAGATGAGAGCGTGTAGTGTGAGAGGGATTCAGGTAGAGGAAGAGAAAGAAGAGAGGAAGAGATGGAGGAGAGATGGAGATGTGAAGAGAGGAGAGACGAGCAGTGCAGTGCAGTGCAGTATAGCGCAGAGGGGAGAGGAGAGGAAAGGAGAGTAGCGCAGAGCGCATAAACGGAGCAGCCTGACAGGCAGCGGCTTAGATTTGAGGCTGCAGGCACACTACTGTCTCTAAGATGAGAGGAGGAGGAGAGAGAGAGGGAGAATGGAAGTGAGACACACAGAGAGATGGAGGGAGTGAGTGAAAGGGGAGACATAAAATAAGATCCAGCACAACTGATGAACAAGCTGAAATTGAAACTATGGGGATAGGATGCAAGAGAAAAAAGACAGCTTCTGCGCATGGGAAAAAAAAAGATGAGCGATGGAGAGAGACAGAGAGAGGGCAAAATGGAGAGAAGGGGGGAGATGTGATGAGACACTGTATGGTGGTCAAAAGGGAAATGGGTGAAGTGGAGTCAAAGCTCTGTCTAATACAAACGAACTGGAGTTTGAAAATGGAAGCACATGAAACAACTTGGGGATGTGGCAGCGGAGAGGAGTACGACCTACTTACTGATTTGCATGTGTGACATTATGTTCATGGATAAAAGCTCCAAAGTGGTTAGAAAAGAACACTAAAAAACAGAGTGGTTTGCTGTTACTGTCATGTCACACCTTCCTCTCTCCCATTTAATGATATTCAGTTTAATGAATTTGCATGAATGTCAAGGTGCAATTCTAAAGTTGGGAGAAAGACAATTAACTTCTATCTTTTTCTAGGTTGTCCTTTGATCTTTAAGACCCAAATTGCTTTTGAATTGAATACAGGTGTACTCACCTAAAAGTCTGACTTCTAGATGACAAAAATAGGCATTTCTTTGCCTTTCTCGGTTCATCAACCTGAATATATAAACCTGTTTTACCCATGTTTACGAAAAATGATTAACAGCATTAGACAATGACCAATTAATTTTAGCCTTAATAGCTTCTCAATTTGATGTGTATTTAAATTCAAGCATTTAGGATTAGAATAAACAACATGTGTATGTATTTTACATTATCTACTACAGTGGAAACCTCTGTAGTAGATGAGGTTGGAAATTAGCCCCTGTCACCAGCCAAATGCTGGGACAATATCCAAGTAGCAGCTAGATTTGCTTCACTCACCAGCCCCGAAACAACAGTAATCTATTGATTTGGTGACAGATTTCAGAATCCACCTGACAAAAAAGCTCATTGCCAACCCTGCTAGAAGCAGATGGTTATTATAACCAAATTCTATTATTCCTTCTTTTCTCGTGCAAATTACCATCTAATTAATTACATGAATATACCTGACTGGGCATTATCAACCCACTTGACAACGGCTTCAACTGCAGGTGCTTTTTCCGTGCACATTGGTTTTCTGTCTCCATCACCCGCAGTCATGTAGCCCATGGAACACCAAGTTTCACTGCTGCTTCTCGTTGGCTTGTTTCTGGCAGTTTTTCATGAGCTTCAAGGTCATTGTGTTTTTCATTAGGGAGAAAATGACTTTTTCCCATCATGATTTCGATGTGCACGCATCAGCCTCAGGTAGCCAGCTGGAAGCAAACAGATTATCGTGAGGCAAGTAATGAAGCTAGAAAAATAGAATTACCGTAGCTTTTTGATCCATATAAGGGGTTTCTGTACTTATAGGAGAGTTACATCTGATCAGGCTCTTCCCACCAACATGCCTTTTTTTAACAACTGTAAAACCCAAATATTTTAAGTTTTATGCTGTAATTCCTTCCAGCACCTCGGGAACAAATGCCTGCAGTCATCTTTATGTTAACTTTAAGTATGCATGAGCATGTATAATATTCATTATCTGTTTCTACACAAGCCTGAGATTATCAGGTTTGATTAAAGATTAAATGATTATTCTCAAGGTTTTAACTGCATTACAAAATGCACTTTCTAAATGTAATCAGCGCACACACTTCAACCATCCATAGAGCTGTACTGTAGGAGCCCAAAGCAAATTAACAGTGGCAAACATTATTAGTGAAACATCTTTCAAAGACTAGCAATGGATTATGAAGCACACCCACTATTGTTACTTCATCTTTGTTGGTGTTTGGTGTGCCTTTATTTCTATTTTTAGAGACTCAGACTGTTTGTCTCCGGCGAGTTACTGATTCACAATACTCAAACACCCAAATGCTTGTCAAAACAAAAGATATGAAAAACAGAAATTAACAGCTCTCTTTGTGATAGATTTGTTTTGTTTGGACTGGTTGAGAAGTGATTCAGTGCGATGTGATTCTCTGGTGTAGGGACAAAACCACACACCGTTTGGAGGTGTTAATGACAACACATGACACCTGCTGTTAGATCTACTACACATTCTTACTGTAAAAAGAATACATGGTTCAAATTAATGTCACCATGAATGTACAGTAGCTGCATTAAGCATCAAATGCCTATGCGACACATGCTGTGCTTCAGCTGAGGTGTTAAATCCGGGCAAATACAAGATAAGCTTAAAATATGAATACAAAGGAAGACGTTTGTCATATGTTTGAGCTTTTATAAAAGGGAAACTTGGGGGAAAATTAATATCAATATAGTTTAAACACACAATTCAGTGAAGCAGAGACTTTCAGTGTTATCCTGGAAGCAAAATCAAGACCAAAGAGTAAAGGGCCATCCACATGAAGAACAATAACCATAATGATGTGAGCGTCCTCGCTAATGAACGATGATGTTCTGTAAACAGTGGCACCAAGCATGTGCTGTACACTCCAGCTGTGTAGGCGGCATAGGAAAATGATCATAATCTTATAAACTTATAATCATCTCCTCATCTCCGTTAGTAAGAATAACACTCACCACCCATTCTGAGGGTGAGCCCGAGTGCATCTCAATTGTCCTTCTTCTCGACTGTGTCTTCATAAAGACTGTTTCATCAAACAGGGGTGCATCATTTTTAGCCCCCATGCTGAGTCTCTCTGCATCTGCCATGTTGAATGTGACACTGTAATTTCAAATGGATTTTGACTCGCTGTCAGTGTTTCTAGCGTTCATCAAACTGCTCTGAATATGATGCCAGTTAAGTTAGAGATATATTTTTGGTTATTGTTATAGTTACTGTTCTTGGTGTGGACGGCAGGGCACAAAACGAGCACCATCCACTAGTCAAATGCTGGTGAAATATGCAAGTGGTTGGTAGATTTGCTTCACTTACCAGGCAAAGAAACAATAGTAATCTATTGAGTAGCTGGGGAAATTTGAACATTCATTTGCCATTTGGTCGGTGGGCAAAAAATTAATTTTGCATCCTGGTGGACGGCCTTGAATACGCAATGAGCCGATGAGTGTTCCTCTCGCTTACAGGAAATCAAAGTTGAAATAATAGCAGCTGCAATGCAACACAACATGCGGGCATTGTATTCAAATACATCACTAAAACTATGAAGTATCTAACTGTATTAGTAAATGTCCTGGTTAATCTTTTGACTCACCACCTCACAGTACGAGGGTGTTTTCCCCTGACAGTCAGGGACTGACATTAAGGATATCCACCTCACTGACCACCGGCTCCCCTGGGGACCTCCGAGACCACTGGGAGATCTGTCTGTCAACCATGCAGCCAGTCACTGTGGAGACTGAGTGTGTGTGAGGGAGGAGGGGTTGGTAGAGACAGAGTAGCATGAGAGTGTGCCTTTGGCCCCCCAACCCTCTCGGTTCACACTTCTCCATCTCACCCCATGAAACAGTTCAGCAAACACATGGAGCTCAGTGCATCACACTGCACTGTCTGCAACCTGACTCTAGATGGCAACCTTCTAATGCACAATACTGTCAGCCTGAGCCAATCATTCAAACCTGACTCCTATATATTACACTACAATAAAAACCCTGTGTGATTATCAAACAACCAGTTAGTTTACTGCAACAGAAGCACAGAGACTGCCTTTGTTATAACTAAATGCAACAGGATACTGAGCAGATAAAGTCAAATCTGTATTATTTTACTGCCAAACAAGCAACATACACACCACAACCACCAGGGGGCACCAGTTCAACACACCTGCTGCAAACAGAGAGTGACTTGTTTGTTTTCTCTTCTCACTTTTCCTGGCTATACTAACTAGCACAACATTAAAAGGTATTAAAGCACTGGCAAAAAACAAGACCAGACAAGATGAGATTTAATTGTCTCACAGTGATTCATTTTTCCCACTGGGAGCTTAACTTGGCAGATGAGGGGAGGCAATTTACTGTGAATTACTTAAGTGCTTCAGCACTGAGAGCTTGTATCAGATTGTGAAGGCAAAACATACATTTCCAAAAATGTTTTTATCACCTAGGTTTTCAGATGAAGCTGGAAAATTAGTGTTTTATAATAAGAGTGAGGGGAGCTGCACTTTTACACAAGAGTCACGACAGAATATACTGTCAGCTTTAGTAGATACTACCCTGTACGCATAGCGTGATTATTATGCCAACTAACGTCACTTTGCTCTGCTGCCTGTAGATGTGGATATATGTGGTATTATGCAAATGTAAGAATGTGTAAATGTGTGCGTGCATGGGTGAATATCTGAATAATTTCCCCACAACCCACAAGTGGTTGTGACGAAACTGTACATTTCATCATTTTCTGTGTGTACGAGTGTGTGAGAGCACATTCGTGAGTGGGTGTTCTCTGTAGCCCACTTCTACTCGGAGACATCTCTGCTACAGATAGACCTTGTGACATCGCCTATCTGCACTGTGACAGTAGTGAGAAAGAAGCCCATTTCCACCTGTCATTCAAAGTGAGGAGCTCCTGAGAAGCTGCTCGGTCACTGAAAATGTGAATCCTCTCTGTTGGTATTTGTGTAAAAAAGTGCTTGTGAGAGAGTGGAGACCTGTGAGTGTTTGTCTGAGTCAAAGAGATAGATGTGTGGAAAATTACTTTTGTATTTTATGCAAAACATTTAAATTGGAGTACTGTCAAAAAAACTGAACTCAACTCAACAAATGAGGGAAAGAGAGGATGGACAAAAGTATGTGTTAATTATCTGTTTACAAG